TTTTTTTTTTTTTTTTTTTGGTCATTTCAAAATGTCTCACAATTTTTTTTATATGAACTAATATTGATTTGAATTTTGTTGTTTGTGAAGTTCTGATGATTTTTATAATTTTTATTTTGATTTATTAGCACTATAAACATAGGAAATTTATTACTATTTTATATTTGCACCTATTTAAGGAATGGTATAATAAAAGTAATTTTGATTATAAAAACCACTGTGGATTTAACACAAAGGCAACTCTCAACCCCTGCAGAAGCTCGACGCTGTGGGCTACCAGTTTGCAACTGCTGATAGAAATTATGATTCAGAGTCATCGTTTCCAGCCACAGATCAAAACTCTACAATAGCTACTTGACAATGGCAATGTGTGCCAAGTCATGGGCAATGTGGAGGAAATTAGAACATCTTGGACACACAAGCTGGATTTCCTTTCTCTCCCTGTTTGTGTATTTATTTTTAAACTCTTATCAGTTTCTATTGCTGGACACCTGAACACCTCAGATAAATTAGCATCTAGAAGGGCGCCTGGCAGGTGCTCAGTAAATATCAGTTGATTGATGAACGAAAGGTGACATACAGACAATACAGAAAATCATTTCATTTTTAGTAGTTTACAAAGAGGTGTTCGCATTATCAGCTTATTTCACTGTGCCTCAGTTTCTGAAAAAGGTTCATAATACTAATATTCATCTCACTGGATTGTTATGAGGATTAAATGAGCTAATATTTGCAAAGGGCTTGCCATTGAAGTGTTTGTAAAAGAAAATAAAGAAAATGAAGTACTTTGCATTTTGAAGAATTGAAGCTTTGAAAAGTAGAGAGTGGGAGAGACAGAACCCTTGACCACGGAGCCCCTGACCCACTTTATACTTTTTTAAAGACCTCCTTAGAGCTCTAAGTTTTTGTTGTTTTTTTTAAGTATGGGTTGTTTAATGAAAGTGACCTATGCACATTATTTAGAAAATTGAAGCCTTGTAGAAATGTACAGAGAAGAAAGCAACAAATCACTAAAAATTCTACCACCCAGGAATAAACCATGTTAACCCTTGAAGAACTTCAGACACCTTTTTATGCAGTTTTAGGGGAGTGAGAAAGAATACTCTTATTTAAAAGAGGCTCAGGTTATATACATTAACATTGAATAAAAAAGGTACTACTTTAATTTTTAATTGAACTGAATAAAAGAGAACTGACTTTCAACGAAAGAGATTGCTGAGCACTGAATGGGTACCTCAAGGTTTCCTTTAAAGCTTAAGTATATATTTTATTACATTACATATTTTGAGTATTATTTCAACCTCTTAAGGAAAATCATTAAGAAATTTAAATTGTATTTTTTATTATAAATTTTAATTTAGAATCCTATTCATTGCCTCTTTGTAACGAAAGACGAGCTGATTATGATTTTTGCCTGTTCTGCTCTCTCCTCCTGATATGTTGTGTGTATCACTGCTGCTTTTCGGGGCGTATGCACACCTCTGTGTTGCAACGATGCATGCCCCAGGTGTTTGGCTCTAAGTGTAATTGAGTGGATGTACCCCTTGCGAGTATTTTTTAAAAATTTATCTTTGTTGTTGAAAGTATTACAGATGCCCCTGCCCCCAGTGACCCCCTCCACTCCACTGCTGTCCCCCCCGCAGGCCTTCCCGCACTCCCGTCTCTCCATGGGCTATACATACAAGTTCATTGGTTCACCTCATCCCGCCCCTTTGCTTTTTTTTTATTAGTTTCCCATCCCATCCTTCCCATTCTTCACTCTGATTCATTTGCGGCTGCCTGGATTTTATTACAGGGTTTCTTCTGTCTTTGTTTTCCTTTGCCTTGTTCCCCAGGGGCCGGTCCCCCTGGTCTATTAGAATGCCTGACTGGGACCTTGGCCCGAGACCCATGCAGCCGTGTCTCTCCCCCGAGAGCTTTGTAAACATCATTACTGCATTGTTTTTGGTGTTTCAAATTGCTGGGAGGAAATAATAAGGCCAACAGGATTTTTGTTTTCCCTTTTGTGGGTGACTTAGCTTATACTGGGATGTCATAACACTTCCAGAAATTAAACATTCTTAACAGGGCATACATTGTAAATGCAGTGAATCTCTGACAATGTCAGCAGCTTAACACTGAAATTTATTTTAAAAAAAATCAAAGCTGGACCATTCTCACATTGCCAGTGGCAATGTAATATGGCACAACCTCTCCAGAAAAGAGTTTTGTGGTTTCCTCACAAACTAAATATCCAACTACCGTGTAAACTAGCATTTGCACTGCTGGGCATTTATCCCAGAGAAATGAAAATGTGTGTTCACACAAAAACCTGTACACAAATATTTAAGCCAGAGTCAAAGTCTGTGCACTGTATGATTCTACTTACATGACATTTTGGAAAAGGCAGTCTTACAGGTCAGAGATTGTCAGGGGCACGGGGGAAGGGTTTGATGGCCCTGATCATGATGGTGGCTCCATGGCTGAATATAATACATCCACCAAAATTCATAGAACGGACACTAAAAAGACTGAACTTTGCTGTATGCAAGTTATATCTTAATAACCCTGACTTTTAAAAAAGTAGAATCAACATAGCTTTTACATCATTGTCCTCGCCATTTCAGTACATTTATTTGAAAAGCATGAACTACATTACACCCCTTAGGGTCCCTCCGTGACTTGGGCTCCAGGACATGCTGTTATTGATTTCTATTTCAGTGCATTAGTTTATTTTTAGCGTGCAGAAACACACTGTTCCTGTCCCGGCTGCACATTTTCTCTACCTTAAGGATGACTCACAGAACTTTTATTTGTCATGTTACGTTGCATAATTCCTTTTACTGCTTAGTTGGAAAACACAACAAGCTTTTACCACATTTTATCTCCAAACCTTTTCCTGCTCATTGAGACAAAATACCATGTGCTCTTCTGTAAATAGTGCTGACCCAGGATCACATCCATCATGGCAAAATTCCACAGCGCAGCAAGCAAGCAGCCGGGCATTTCATCTGCTGTTGCTCCTTCCTTTGTTTTGCTTTGTTTTGTTTTTTGTTGTTTTTCTTCTCCTGCAGGCCATGTGGAAATGGCAAAGTGCACAGTAAATAAATATTTTGATAAATCCTAGGCAGTGTGATTATCAGGAAAGCAGCTTGGGTGGGTGGTTGCGTTTAAATAAAAATGTATGTTTTACAAAATAATAACTGGACACTATGGATAGGTTGACTCTGAGCATCAATATCATCTATTTTCAGCTTTTCTAACTAGTTGTACAAACGCACTCAACCATTCCTATAAGAGGTGACCACAGGTTTCAACTAAACAAGACAGGTGGTCCACACCTGCTGCCTTCACTAAACTGAGAATACAGGAAAATTAAATTTTTTCCTTAAAGGCTGAAGTCCAAAAGAACAAAGAGAGTGAAGGAGAAAATAGCCAATGAGAGCTGGCAACAAGGTTATGGGCGCTATTTAGCAGACAGAAGCAAGCTGAAAGTTCAGCTACTGCAGGAGGAAAAGCCAAGAAGCAAGGCGACTGATTCAGGCGCAGGGTCGGGGGAGGCTCAGGATCAGCTCAGCCGGCACAGTAGAGGGACAAGACAAGAGCCCCCCTCCCTGGGGAGGCCCGGCAGCCGGTGAAGAGGGGGGGAGACCCTGCATTGAAAGTTGGAAGTAAAGGCCTTCTGAAAGATGGCCCCTGCAGATCCATGGCCTGTTTGCTCCCAGAATGCTGGCAGCTAGACTTAACCCCGTTCTGCAACCCCCAGGAGGATATCGGAGAATGTTTTTGTGGGGAAACCGCCTAAGGAAAAAAATCCCACAGACATTCACATTTTTCAGCCCTTCAGTAAAATGAATGGACTGCCACATGGTCACCCTAAGGGGAAGACCATCAATTCACACACACTGACCAATATGCACAGCTTCCAATAAGCTAAGAATATTTGAGTAGTGCCTCTAACCCAAAAGACAGATATCAAAACAATCAAACCGAAAAACGGAATTGGGATGAATGGTAAAAAAAAATTTTTTTAAAATCCAACTATAACTATATCCACAGAAAGATAAGAAAATATTACATCCATGGGGGGAAAAATTGTGTTATTAAAATTCATTCGGAGATAAAAAAAAATTCTTGGAAATTGCAAATATCTTATTATAAATAAAAAATTCAATAATTGAAGCAATACCCCCAAAGTATAAGAAATAAAGAAGTAGAAATTAAAGCTCAAAAAAGAGGGAGAGGGGAGCTCAATCTAGTAGGTCCAATATTCAAATAATAGGAATTTCAGAAAGAGAAAATAAAGAAAATGGAGAGGGAGAAATTATTTAAAAATATAAGACATGTTCTCAGAATTAAAGAATATGAATCTCCAGAGTGAGAGAGACCACTGATTCTTCAATACAATTGAGGGGGAAAATCCACATTGAGGCACATCACTGAAATTTGAGAACAGTGGAATAAGGAGAAGAATCTAAAACTTTCTGGAAAATGGAAGGGAGGTGTATCAGTTAGCTTTTGCTGTGTAACAAGTCACCCAACCTTAGAGACTTAAAATAATTTATGGGTGGTTTGGTAGTTCTTGTGATCTGAGCTGGGTACATGATGGTCGTATGGTCTGAGACAGCCTCACTCTGTCCGGGACTTCCTGGGATGGCTGGGACTTCTCTCCACAGAGTCTCTTAAACCAGTTTGGATTTGTTCGCAAGGGTGATGGAAGGATTCTCAGCAGCAAGAGAGGGCCAGCCCAATGCACATGCACTTTTCAAACCTCCAGTGGCATCACGCTTGCTATGGATTTTCAAACCTCCATTGGCATCATGTTTACCAAAAAAGATAGGGCAAAATCATGTGAATGAACCAATGTCATGCAGAAAAGCATTGGAGGGTTCAGTATTATTCAGAATTATCTCCTGGAGAAATGGACGAGTTCTACAAGATCTACCACCCCTTCCCTTTGCAGTTGCTGGCTGGTGAGTGAGTCCAAAGGAGCTCACTTCTTCAAATATGCTTTAATCAATTCATTTCTTGGTCACCATTTTCCAGAAAGTTTTAGAATGTGGTCACCATTCAAAATGATTATTTCTTCTTCCTCTCCATTTTTTGTTTTCTCTTTCTGGAATTTCTATTATTTGAATCCTGTCTCTCTGTCTTTATTTCTTATACTTTTGGGGGCATTGCTTCAGTTATTGAATATTTTGCTCATAATAGCATATTTGTAATTTCCAAGAATTTGTTTTTGTTTCTTTTTTTTCTTTTTTTAAAATATATCTTTATTGATTTCAGAGAGGAAAGGAGACGGAGAGAGACAGAGAGAAAATCAATGATGAGAGTCATTGATCAAGCCCGCAACCCGGGCATGTGCCCTGACCGGGAATCGAACCCCAATCGCCTGGATCCTAGGTCAATGCTTAACCACTGAGCCACGCCCGGCCGGGCTTGTTTTTGTTTCTGAATGTAATTTTTATAACATTTTGTTCTTTTTTTCCATACATATGAGTCACGTTGCAAAGGGTGTGGACACAGGGAGGAGTGGTTTATTATAACAATTTGCCATGCCACTATACTATTTCCATAAAGACAATTATTCTCATGGTCTCAACATCCTTGATTTTAAATGTTGTGTTAAACAAAGAAGAGTTTTCACCATTACCTAAACTCAAACTCTCTCTCTGTGGGTATTAGTTATAGTATAATCTGTGTTTCTTTTTTCTATTTATCTCAGTTCTACTCTTCTGTTTGATTGTTTATCTCTGCCTTTTGGGTTAGAGACTCTACTCAAATGTTCAGTGAATTTTAACTATTGATAATTAAGTGTAAGACATCACAAAGCTTATTGGAATCTGTGTGTATACATTTAATTAAATATATTTTTCATGTTTCTCAAGATTGATGAGTAAAATGTCCTATAACAAACAGATCCCCTGGGAATGAAATGCCTTTAGAAGGAAGTTAGCTGTCCTTTCAGAAAATAAAAAAGCTTATAAACTTCCTGCAACATATATAGACAGTGTTACTAATTATACAGACCTCATAATGCCCCAGCGGGCTATGCATACCCATTATGCACACCCACACACGCATGTGCAAGCAGCTAGCCAAGAGAGAACGAACCTCCTGACTCAGCCTGTTGTAACAGCAGCGCACCTACATTTGTTTGATTATATCAGCTGCACAAATGCCATTGACCCCAATATGCCCGAACTAGTATGTGCACGTGGATCACCTGGGGATTTTGTTAAAATGCACATTCTGATTCAGCAGTTCTGGGAGGGGCCTGAGCTCTCACCAGCCCTCAGGAAATGTGATGTTTGGTCCAGGGACTGTATTTTCATCAGCAAAATTTTAAACTGTGCACAGTCTAAAAACAAATTTGAAATTTGCCAAGAATCCTATTTCCATGCGTTTGTAAAAAAAAAAAAAGGAAGCTATCCAGTATCCTAGTTAGTTCAGTTATGTATTTACTTCTGATGGTCAGTCTTCAGTAGTTAATTGTTCTTTGCAGTTTTTCTGTCTTTAGGTTCATAGTAGATGCCTAAGTCTTTTTTGCACGAGATTGTACATCAATAGACTGCTGAGATAAAAAGAGAGTAAGAAAGATAAAATTTAATGAAATTGCAATCTGCTAGATGAGTCCATTCTCATAATTTTTAGACTTTGCAAGAAATTAGAAGCAAGGACATCAAAGACAAAAAAATCACATCAAATACCTTATTATTTTTGGTAAAGCACAATGCTTTAAGAGTAATCCTGTTAAATGCTATACGTGTATATGTAAATATCGAAATAAATAAGTGAATATATAAGTGAAAAAAGAGAAAAAGTTTCCAGAATCATCACTGACTATAGTTACACTTTTACTTAAGTAATAATTCCTTTCTGGGAAGAGCTACAGTCGACTCTTGCGGGGGCAGAGATGGTTCCTCTATGGCAAAAGTCCCCACTGTCTCTGGGCCCTGAGGATACTCTTGGCCAGCAGGGGATACTGGGAAAATACTCCCAATTTAGACATAACGCACTGCCATCACCACCACCGCCCTCATCAACAACGAAGTTAACGAGTGGCATTCACTTCATTTTTAAGCCTCTCACACTGAGCTTCCCACCCCAATATATTTTTCTTAAACCTTTCATACCTGTTCCTGTTTTTCTTCTATTTCACACACACACACAAAACTTGCCAGCAGATAATTAACATGAGTGGGGAAGTAGAAATAAACAGTAGTGGAAAGATTTCAAAGAAGTTGATTATCTAATAATAATAACTAATATTTAATGTGCTTATGGTGTGCTAGGTAGTGTCTTGAGACTTCACACGGATTAATTCGTACTGGCCTTGCGGCACTCTGATGAGCCAAGATAAGAACTACCTGTTCGACAGTGTGCATGTGGGTGTGCTTTGGGGATGTAAACTGTGGATGTAATTTTATTTACACATACCATTATGTTTCAGCGTTTTAAATCATTTCTGTGCTAGAACTGCACTGTCCAATATGGTAGCCAATAGCCACATGTGGCTCATGAGCACTGGAGATGTGGCTGGTGTGCAATGAAATGTGCTGTAAGTGCAAAATATAAGATTTTGAAGACAGCGTCAGAAAATAAAATAATGTCAAATACCTCTTTATTATTTTAGATTGATTACTGAAATATATATTTGGGATATCATGGGTTAAATAAAATAGATTACTAATATATTACTAAAATTAAATAAATATTAGTAATATATTACTGTTGATTTTACCCATTTTCCCTTTTTTAAAATATATGTCTTTATTGATTTCAGAAAGAGGAAGGGAGAGGGAAATAGAAACATCAATGATGAGAGTCATTGATCAGCTGCCTCCCGCACGCCCCCGACTGGGGATCGAGCCCACAACCTGGGCATGTGCCCTGACCGGGAATCGAACCTTGACCTCCTGGCTCACAGGTTGATGCTCAACCACTGAGCCATGCCGGCCGGCTGACTGCAGTAGTTCCCGCGTTTGGCCAAAGGAAAGACTCAGATTCATTTACAGAACGATATTCTACATGTGTGCTGCGGAGCCTGCGTCCAGGGCCTGGCTTAGCAATGCACGTCATAGGGTCAAGGTCAGAAGCTGTCGGCTCCTCCACCTGCCGCTGGGCCAAGCCTCCCCCGGAGCCTTCCCGCAGCGCTGCGGACTCAGGGCGGGACTCGGTCACCTCTTCACTCAAACCACGCGCCCAGGCTTTTCTGAGCAGTTCTCACTTTCCAGGCCTTTCCCGACACTGTGTCAACAGCCCACCACCCTTCGATGCTGGAGAAAAGAGACCTTTCTCGGGTAAGGACCCCTTCTCCCATCTCCCTCTCCCTCCTTCCACCCTCGTCTGCCTGTGATTCTGCGGGCGGCACTTGCACGTCTTCATATTCCCAACTCGACCCGGGTTAAGTAAACGACCAACGGTTTGGTCTCAAGTTCACCGTCGTGAATGTGGTCTGAAAAATGACGCTTTTTAGGATTTTACTGTCGGAGAGTGCCAGATGATGGCAGTACCTGTGTCCCAGGCACTGTAACGTTTGTCTCACACGCTGGGGCAGTGCCCGGGCGGTGCTGCTGGTGATCAGGGCGCGCTCTCATTTCCAGTCTCTCCAAGTCCCTGGGGGGGAGAGCTGCCCACTGCAGGCACATTTATGAATGAAACCATTCATGGCTGGGCTTCCTGCCTTTTGTGTTTTCTTATAGATCTCAAGTTGTAACTTTCACATGAATAAACTACTTTAACAGTTCCTATTTCTATTCTGCGTCCCTGGGGGCAATATTTGGCAGTGCACGCAATATTTTTAAAAAATCCTTTCCTCTGGCCGGCATTCAACTTTTCTAACACATTTTTAGACCTGGAAACGCGTCCTTCTATCCCTCCACCAGCATATGTTTTTTTTTTTTGTTTTTTTTTACTCTCTCCTATTCCTTCCAAGCTACACAAATCTGTTTCCTGACAATTTGAGAACTGAGAAATGTCTGCGTGGGGGGAAAAAGCGAAGACACATGTTGTGTTGTAATTTTAGCAGGAAAATGTTGCCCAATGACCAAACCAGGCGCAGTCTTGTGATGTTTTCTTTTGCTCACACTCACTTTTCCTATTTTGATCCCACCGTCCACTCCCTAAAGGCTGCTGAGCCTGCCTCCCGTTCAGACGCTGTGACTTGCTCTAAATCAGCAGAGTACTGATTTCTAAGGACCAGGACACGATGACCTTAATGTGGAGAGTGGGGGGGGGTGACTCTACGGGTTGGCTTTCATCTTTAATTCTTTGTAAATACAAAAAGCAGGCAGCCTGTTCAGCAGTTCAGATTTACCCGGCTGGGTCAGAAGGTGTGTTCAGACAGGAGGGTTTATCAAGCGCTTGCTAACTGCCAGGCAGGGCTCCGAGCACCGGGAATTCAGTGGGAAAGACCCAGCCTCGGGCCCACGGATTTGGAAAGAGCACTGAACTCTCAGCCAGGGCACTTCAGAGGCTGCAAAACTATGGGCAAGTTGTCCACAAGGCCCGTTTGATTACCTGGGATTTTCCTCTAGGTCCAACTAAGCCCATTACTGCGTAGGTAACACTGGAAATCTTTTCAGGTCAGAACACTTTCCTTCTGTCTCTTGATTTTTTGCCTTGTGTCAGTACGTAAGCTGCGGAAAAAAGGCCAACGTTTCTGTTCCCTCCCTACGACTATCTAACCACAAACACGGGCTCGAGTTTCAGATTTACATCCCATCATGCGGCGCACAATGATATTCTGCTTCTCACAGAAAAAAGACAACCGAAGAATATTTCCAAATTATTTTCAAACATGATTATCGCACAGTATTACAATGTATTATGTGCAAAATTCCATTTAAAAAATCATTTACAAAAGGAAGTATAACACAGTATGTGCTGAGGGGTCCGGATGTGTCACAAAAGCTAACAAAGGAACAGGGTACACAGCCAACCGCGTTAGATGACCCCCGTCTTTACACAGAACAAGAACACGTTTCTGCAACTACCTGTTACATTGATACAAGACCCTCAGACTTCGCGCGCCCCCAGCCAGTTTTCACAAAACACGAATTTACTCCACCATACATTCTGAAAATGCAGATGGCCTTTTGGTGCATTTGCAAACTAGTTTCCAAACAGCATCTTACTTAACTCCATGAACATCACAGTACACATTACTTGGTTTCTGCCCCAAATAATCTGATGCTGTTAGTTTTCACTTACGTGGGAAAGGGAAATAAAAGTGTTATCTTTATTTTTTTTTCCCCTCACAGAGTTTTCAAAATAGTTTCCAAAAGCAAATAACATGGAAAAATTTTTGCCAAATCTCACTGTATATTTACAATATTCTCAGCAAAGGTGGTTCCTTCCCTCTTCTTTTCCCACTTCCTTCCAGGAGCCTGAACTAGCAGACTAACTCCTTAGTCCTTTTGTTAGAGTCTGTATTTCTCTCTCGAGCTCTCTCTACATAAATGTCTCTCCTGATCCTCAGCATCACTTGGTTAAAACACAAAACAGCACAATATCACTGAGCGCAAACAAGGTAACAGTACATCAGATTTTCAAAGGCATTCTGTGGCCAGTGTCAGCAATATATCACCTTAAGAAATCCAGCGGCCTCTCCCCACAAAGTTGCCGAAACATCCAGTTACAGAAGAGTGACTCTTCAAATGCAATACTCTCAAATCCAGCAAGAGATTTCTTTTTGAATATTAAATGTTAAAATCACATGCATAATTATAGAATATTTTAAAGTTACAAAAATATTTTAAAAACCAATCCTGACAGTTTACCTGCAACTGCTATAAAAATTTCTATGAAATATATAAAAACACAGAGGCTCTTTGTAAAATAAAAAATAAAAACAAAAAAAAAACCAAGAAAGGAAAGAAAGAGTGACAGGAGGAAAGCCATCCACAGAACTGATGCACTGCATCGGGCGGTCTTGCCAAACACCTGCTGTTCAAGAAAAGAGCCTGTACCTTACATGTGTACTCAGCACATATACATACTTGTGAGCCCACCTGGAACCCGGCTGCGGGTGGGCAGCAAACCCTCTCGGGTCACAGGCCATCGAGCGCAGCTCTCCATGCCTGAAGGAGAGCCTGCTGATTCCTGGACCTCAGCTGCCTTGCTTGGCGATGTGCCTAAAGATGCCCCTGTGGATGGCTTAGTCACTGGACCGAGGAGTCCCCAAGGAGGTGGCTCCAAGCACGGGGAGGGCGACGGGCTAGGCTGCGGCCTTCCCTCCCCCCGTCTGAATGTACCGCCAGGGAGCCCCGCGTCTCCTAGGAGGTGGTGAGGTCCTCTTCGTTCTGGAAAATGACGCCGTAAGGGTCCTTCTTGATGCGCTTGTAGACGAAGTGGAAGATGTGAGGCTGTGGCCGGCTGTGCAGCTCGGCCTTGATCTTCTGAGGGTAGGTGTCCTCCGCCAGCTGCTGCCACGTTTCGTCGACGAAGAGGAAGAGGCTGTACTCCTCAGGGTCCCCCACCTTAAACTTCTCGGCACAGAGCTGACACACGTCCTCGGTGGTGACGTAGGGTCTCACGAGGAGGGTCTTTCCCGTGCAGCCGCTGTTCACCTCCTGGAATGCCACTCGGAGGTAATTCTGCGGGTGGAAAGAGAGACGTGGGGCCGAGTGAGAGGAGGGGGACAGGACAGGGCACCGAGGGCGCACCGCGACGTGCGAGTGGGTCGAAGCTGCCGGCCACTCCGGCTCGGCCCGAGGCCTCGGCGTGCAGGGGAGGAGGCCGAGCCACGTGGACAGCGGGCAGGGAGCCACGTGGACCAAGTGGCTGTATCTTAGCTCATTACAATGACAAGGGCCACGAAGTCCACTGAGCCACATGGGCAGCGGGGAGGGAGCCACGTGGACCGAGTGGCTGTATCTTAGCTCATTACAATGACAAGGGCCACGAAGTCCACTGAGCCACATGGGCAGCGGGGAGGGAGCCACGTGGACCGAGTAGCTGTATCTTAGCTCATTACAATGATACGGGCCATGAAGTCCACTGAGCTGTGTCCTCCGAGTGTCCTTCATAAACCCCGNTGCGTGGCTGTATCTTAGCTCATTACAATGACAAGGGCCACGAAGTCCACTGAGCCACGTGGGCAGCGGGGAGGGAGCCACGTGGACCGAGTGGCTGTATCTTAGCTCATTACAATGACAAGGGCCACGAAGTCCACTGAGCCACGTGGGCAGCGGGGAGGGAGCCACGTGGACCGAGTGGCTGTATCTTAGCTCATTACAATGACAAGGGCCACGAAGTCCACTGAGCCACGTGGGCAGCGGGGAGGGAGCCACGTGGACCGAGTGGCTGTATCTTAGCTCATTACAATGACAAGGGCCACGAAGTCCACTGAGCCACGTGGGCAGCGGGGAGGGAGCCACGTGGACCGAGTGGCTGTATCTTAGCTCATTACAATGACAAGGGCCACGAAGTCCACTGAGCCACGTGGGCAGCGGGGAGGGAGCCACGTGGACCGAGTGGCTGTATCTTAGCTCATTACAATGACAAGGGCCACGAAGTCCACTGAGCCACGTGGGCAGCGGGGAGGGAGCCACGTGGACCGAGTGGCTGTATCTTAGCTCATTACAATGACAAGGGCCACGAAGTCCACTGAGCCACGTGGGCAGCGGGGAGGGAGCCACGTGGACCGAGTGGCTGTATCTTAGCTCATTACAATGACAAGGGCCACGAAGTCCACTGAGCCACGTGGGCAGCGGGGAGGGAGCCACGTGGACCGAGTAGCTGTATCTTAGCTCATTACAATGATACGGGCCATGAAGTCCACTGAGCTGTGTCCTCCGAGTGTCCTTCATAAACCCCGGTTAAGAAACCCCTGGTGAAGAGCGTGAGCCAGGCCCCATCCTGGGCTTATCCCCAGCTTGGGGACAACCTCAACAGCAGGGCCCGAACCAGGGGGCAGCAGGAAGAGACGTGCGAAATACGTAGACACAAGGGCACCCACTGTAGTGGCTTCGGGCTGCTTCTCATGAGGCTTCAGCAAGGGCAATAATGTTAGGTTGGACCACAGGGTGCTGCCCACATTTGGTCACTTGCATCTCCCCAAATGGTGATTTCTGGTGGTTCAACCTGATACAAATGGCTCTGAGTGCAACAGGGAAAAGTCAGCAGGAGGAAAGTGTTGATTCTTCCAAAAGGCTTTGGAGACGGAGCTGATTGAGTGCAAAGAGGTGTTTCGGGGACATAAAAGGAGATGTTTGCGGGCTTGGCACTGTGAAAGTGCCAGGTGTGTGCCATCACGAAATACAACAAGACTCCGAGATGACAGACGTGAAGTCCAGATGAGGTAGAAAGCGTCCTACACTCATAGCAGGCTCTCGGAGACTTTGTGACCCTGGGTAACATGTTCAGTTTCCTCTTTTTAGGAGTGGGGTTACCAGGAAAACAGAACACCCCGTTCAATTTGACTTCTCAGACATAAAAGAGTTTCCCTTTCTAAACCTGGCAAACCTTCTCAGGAGGGAAGGGAAGTGGTGCTCTCTACCTGGGGTCCCATGTGGTGACCATGAGGGTTCACTGGGATGCTGGAAGGGAAAGCTCCGTGTGCTCTGCACTGGTAGGCTAACTCTTACTTGCTTGAATGAGAGCACCTCAAGAGCACACACTCCATTCCCCAACCCCTCCTCTCCCATCTCAACCCCCCAACGCCTGGCCCGCACACTTGGTATCCGTTTACTCATTGACTGCCGAAGAGAAATTGGTGAAAGAAGTCTACATTTTTTGCATTTGACTAGTGAAGAGAAGAAACTGAGGCACAGAGAGGCTGAGCAACTTGCCCAAGGCCACACAGCTAGTGAGCGGCAGGCCCAGCATTTCAGCATCGTCACCACTGTTGTGTGCTGCCTCTCCAGTGTGAGGAGGCTTGTGTGTGTGTCCGTGACCCCTAATTTAGGAGTTCCAAGTGGAGTTTTGTGTCTGAGTTTTTGTTCTTACATCCAAACTGAGTGCTGAAAATTCTCCCCTTGGGCTATATTTTAAGGTGTGCATCTCCTCGGTGAGCGGGGCCAGTGGGAAGGAGTATGTAGAAGGAAGGGGGCACTGTGGCCTCTGGGGGTCTCTAGGTTAGAAGCTCCAGATAGAGAGAGGGGGCAAGAAGGAGGGGCTGGTGGCAGGTGGGGAGATGGACGAACGAGCTTTTCTTATTTCCTCTCTTCAGAGGGTGTCCAGCCCTAGGAGTCCCCTCCTGGGACAGGCAATCACATAATCCCAAGAGGCTGCATATGCAAAGTCACTTGACACGTGGACAGCTCTTCAACAGCCCGGGGTGGGGTGGGGGGCAGGGGAGCACACGGTATGCTCTTGCTTTTTAGATTTATGTCCCCAGAAGGAATTTCGGAGAACCCTGATGCCTTAGAGAAGAACTTGAAGATCCTGCCTTCCCATGAAGGGCTGACTTTGAATCAAATGTCCCTTTGAGTATTTTCAGGGCATTGAGAGGCAGAAAAGGTAAGGACGGTGAACCTGAGTATGGGCATGGACACATCTGTCCTGCTTAAAATTCACCACATGGCACACAAACAAGACGCAGCGGGTTTTATAACCTGATCTGGAACTTGCAAAATATGATTCAAAGACGTTTGCACACTTAGTCATAACTCCATAGACTATGAGCAAATCAAGGGCTGCTGTGCTGGGTACAGTTTTCTGTGGCCCTAAACTGCCTCTCCTCTTTAAGAAACAAGCTCTTTGGGAATCTTACATTCCCGGGAAACTGCTCATAGTCATGGAAAGTTCTGGATGGAGATCCAGGTGGGGCCAAATGGCTGCCAGAGCTGATGCTGCCAGTGAAATGCTGGAGTCTTCTGTTTTAGGAGGATGGGTAGAGAAAAAAAGGATTGGAGGGAAGGCATTACTGTACCTCTCCCTCTTCTCAGAGAGACCAGGTCAGCTGCAGTGCCTAACACTGCTATTTCCACTCAGTCTTTTTTTTTTTATTTTTTTATTTTTATTGATTGATTAGAGAGAGAGGGAGAGAGAAAGGAACATCAATTTGTTGTTCCACTTATTTATGCATTCATTGGTTGCTTCTTGTTCGTGCCCTGACCGGGGATCAAACCCACAACCTTGGCGTATCAGGAAGATGCTCTAACCAGCTGAGCTACCCGGCCAGGGCTCCACTCAACCTTCTGATAAAATACTTGCCACCTGTGCCCAGAGTGTCTTCTTTGATGCCCTGTCTGCTTAGGTGCTCAATATTCACGATGAACGGTCTGCTAGAAATCCCGCCTTAATGTGACTTTGTTTTCTTAAGGGCAGCAAAACTTGGGCCAAACCCACATATATATATTTTTTTACTATCAGCAAAAGAGAGAAGTGAAACAACAAGGTCAAAGGGTGGTTTAAAATATCTCTTCCTCCGGATGAACTGACAAAGGAGGGACCTCGGGCGCCCTGAGCTCTGTGTGCCCTGTGGGCCAGCCCTGCCTTTGTGCAGGACAAAGGAAGCAGCAAGCCTGCCCCGCCCCCCTGTCACCCTCGCTGGCCACATACCTGAAAGTCGTCCACTGAAGGGATGGTCCGGTTGGTGGTCCTCCGCCTGTGCCACTGCCTCAGGGTGTCTCTGGTCTCGGAGCTGAGCAGCCTTGCGGCTTGCTCTTCTTGGAAATTCTTTATCAGAGAAAGTGCCCCATAGGCGCTTGTCAAGTAGTAGCCTCCTGGAAAGGACAGAGACAGCGAGTCGGCAAGTTGCATACCAGGGGACGCGCTTTGTATTCTCTCCATTTCTCCCACGCGTGTTTCCTGTGGACCAGAGATGCGCACATCCAAGAGCACGCCCTTCACGCCCCCGCCTCTCCATTCAAGCGTCATCCCCAGGGATGTGCTGGGTGACCCAGGCCCGGGCCAGGGATGCGGATGCCGATGGCCCTGGCTGACAGAGCCCTGTTTTCACTGGTGGCATTCCCACCGCAGTGGGCGAGACACACAAAAATCTATCAACTATTTAAGCGCAATTGTGCAAATGTTTTGCCTGACGGAGGTGGGAGGCATGTGAGGGTGGTGAGGTCAACCGCTCGGGGGCCAGAATCATTTACTTTAGCAGCAGGCGTCCGTGTATCTCCTGGCAATACTTTCTTTGGGGCTTTCTTTTTTAGGAATTAATATTTTCTAAATTTTAAGAAAAACACATGCTTTGAAAGGGACTGCACAATATGCAGGTGTATTCGCAATAATATGGGTTCTTTAAAATAACTTCTTCCTGATTCCCTTTCCTACCCTCACCTGGGAACTTAGGTGACAAATTGAGGAAAAAGTCACTTACAAGGAGAAGCAATGTCCCTTTGATGGTGCGTTCAGGAATGATTTCTTATGTGTGGGGAATGTTAAAAGATGACAGCACTGTGAGATACACAGAAATGTGCTTGTAGTTTTGTCCTCAACTGGAATTTGGTGCCTTCTGAGGAACTGGCAAGCACCATGCTATAGGACCACTAGGGGGCACCCCGAATGTTGATTAAAAATCCCCTAACTGGGCACCCCCACATTTTAAACTGAGAAGCATTCTTTGTCAAAATACTATTGAATCTCTCCCATGAGCCTGAGATAGGTACAGAGCAGGGGGTGGGTTTGTAAGAAGTACAGTCTAAGTCCCTGCTCTACAAAGTTTATAAATGTATTAAAGAGAATGAACACTGGTAGTTTATTCACGCAGGGACCGGAAGTTAGTCGTGGTTCAATCAGTTTTGTGCAGAAGCACCACTTTCACGGCTAAAGTATTTAGCTGCTAAGGCAAGATCCCAAACAACTCTCTCTGTTCAACAAGGGACAACAGTCAAGATGGCAATTGGTCCATCTCTGAGAAATGAGCAGAGCGCCCTGTGAGTCGCAGTGGACATGCAACTTGAGAAAGAAACACACCTTTGTGGATTTCAGGTCACTGATGGAGATTTAGGGGTTATTTTTTTATGGCAGCATCATCTAGGCCACTCTGAGCAATACACTTTCCATGTACCTATCAGATGTCAGGCTTTTTGTTTAGATTTATTTGAATAGTTTAATGGCCACACCAGCTGGGGCTAAGTTCCCCAGGGCAGCTCCACATGCTAGTACAGAATTGTAAGTAGCTGATTTTTACTAAATATTCACTTCAAGAACAAATCAGCACACAATCGGACGTGAAATGCAGTAGTACATTTCAACGCCACACAGAATTTCAGGAGAAATCAATGTCGACTTAAATGTTTAAGAAAGAGGTGTGAGTACTGGAGCTGGGACTTGGAGGGATGGTTACAATCCAGTTTGGGAGGGAGGGTGTTTCCTTTGGACATCAAATTTTAGACTCCATAGCTCTGATCTGTTCAGGCCACTGGGGAGAAAACTCACAATGCTGGAAGCACAAAACTGACCACACTTTGAAACATGCGGGTGCAATTAGAGGACGGTTTTCATTTCAGCAAAACACTAACACTACCACGAGCTGTGCACTTGAAAGGGCTTCTAGGATGCTTTTTCCGTAAATGAAACTATCTGCTTAAACTGCAGAAAAGAGATGTAAGCTGTTGCCCTGCAAACCAAAGAGGGCCTTGGGCAGGCCTCGGAGGGCTGCTCTGCTCAGCAGCTTCCTCCTGCCGGTTGCACAGCTTCAGTTCACTGAAATGCAGGCCTGGTCTGTAACCACAGCCAAGCCGACTGGGCCGCCCTGCTGTCCCGGGGAAGGCAGCCAAAAAGCCGAGACACAGTGAAGTGGGAGCAGGCGCTGGTTCAAGCACGAGCTCACGGGCTGCTCTATATGTTCACTAGCTGGGTCCTGGGCTTCTCTCAGGTGTGATTCCAGGGAAGTGTCTTCCTTTGGGGAAAGGCCGGGAAAGGTGGCAGAAAGTGGCTGTCTAAATCCTCGGGCCGAAGGATGTAAGCATACGTTCGTCCTAAGTACACACTATCAGCAACAGAATGGTAATTTTCTGAGTGAAACTGGCATGCCCTTTCCCTAAAGGGCCAAGAATTCGAATACGGATCACTAGAATGAAACAGGATTGACGCGGAAAGCGACAACAGCAACAAAACCCAGATGCATACAAAATTTTTAAAATGATGCAAAATGTAATAGTGATGGCCTGCACGCTTCTCTTGATCACTGGACAAAGCCACATGCTTTCCCCCCTCCTGTCACACCCCAGGGCAGGGCAGGTAAGGAAAGCTCCAGGCAGGGCAGTGGTGGCTCAGGTTGTGAATTAGACTGAGGGGAGATAAACAGACAGGAGGGTAAAGCCATGAAAGAGGCTCGTTCATTCCTGTCTGGGCTGAGAGATCTGCTTACCCCTAATCCGGAGTCAGCATTAACCCTAGAGGTGGGAAGGGTGGACCTTATTGGCTCCAAGGAGCGGGAGAGGCCTGATGAGAAAGCCACGCCATAGGGACGAAGGAACAGGTTCTGGGGGTGACAATCCATTTAGGTTCTCTTCAGGGAAAATCTAAGTATGACGCATTCCCTGGGGAATCCTATCAACTCCTGGACCTTTTTACTGAAGCGTGGACTAAAAGTCACTGGAGAAAGGAGAAAAAAAGTCTATGCAACAATTCAGAACTCAGGGGACACATGAAAATGGCTGAACAGGATTCACAATGCACAGGCCCCAATTTGTTCTCCTTTCAAAAGACAAGCTCCCAGAAGAGTCCCAGTTATTACTGCTTTTCAAGCCCGTGTACCACGACGGCAAACATCCAAATTATTTCCATAATAAAATACCTGACCAGTGTGTAAGGAGAGAGAATTTCCGCTAGGACATGTTGGGCCAGGCAGACACAAGAAGGAAACTGAACTGCCAAGATAAATTGAAGGCAAAATGCCCACTTTTTACTCCACTGTATTTTTATTTCAACTATGAACAGATACTATTTTTTTAAATAAACAAGAAAATCAATGCTGTTCTCATCTTGAAAACAATTTCTTTTTTTTAAATGATGAAAGCAAAATAACAGCAGGACATTCTTCTGACAATGGAAATATTCTCTCACCAAAGTTTACAACTTCCCCTTGAAATCAAAGAAACCATTTCTTTTTTCAAAATACCATTTAGTCTATTGAACAGCATTTTTTTTAAATTGCAATTAACCAGGCTGGGTGAATTATGGCAGGGTTATATTTTTTTGTGTTTTTCTGACTTTCCCAAATTTTCTACAATGACTATGTATTACTTTTGTAGTTAGAAAAAGAGCACATTCTTGCAAATTAAAATTAGACTTAACCCTTAGGATTTCAAAAAATCTCCCACATAACTGCTTATTGGGTACTGGGTTTTATTTGGGGGTATATATATTTTAAAAAAATGTTTTTAATCCTAGCCTGAGGATATTGATTTTTAGAGAGAGAGAAAGGGAGAGAGAGAGAGAGAAACATCGATTGGTTGCCTCTCATAGGTGCCCCAACTGAGGATGGAACCTGACACTGCAACTACCTGAGCCACCCGGCCAGGGCTATTTTGGGGCATATTTTTGGAGCCAGAGAGAGGCGGTGGATTGCACAACATTGCGAGTGTACTAAATGCCAATGAATGGTTCACTTTAAAATGGTTGATTTTGTTATGTGAACTTCATCTCAACAACAAAAACCAACCCCCCCAAAACACCCAGTTCCTCCCATTTTCCCGAAAGCGCGTTACCTTCTCCATGTAACAGCGACGGGTCTAAGAGCTCCATCATGTACTCGATCTCTGTGTCCAGTTCCAGCATGTCACACTGAGCGATGACATAGGTCAGGACTGGTAGAAAGTCGTCAGCGCCATACATCCTTCCTGGGGTTAGGGGGAAAGCGGAAGACAGGAATATTTTTACCAACATTTCTGGCTTTCATGTTCTACTTGCTGCTTTTATTAGGCAGTGAGGAGTCATGCTGGAGAGATGTGCTATTCATAAACCTTTGGAGGTGGGCGTTTCTGGAATCCTATGTCGCCCACGACCTTCCCCGCTGCGCATGTGTCAGACCAGCCCTAACTCACAACTTCAGAAGGAGCATCTGGGAGTCAATGAACACAGAGGGGTTCTCTCCCCACTGTCATGAGCTACATAGTTATGCAATACAACACAGGACTTTCAAACAGTTTAACTTTCGGCAAGTAACATTACAAACCAGTTTACAAAGTCTCTGCTTCTTATGTCCACCCTTGGGGCTTGTTTCCTGTTGCTTTCTGTGCAGGTTACTCACAAACAATGACCGATCAGACTCATACCAGGAATAAAGGTTGCTCTCTGCTTGTGAGCACACAGTTTGTTTATTCAGATGTGTGAATTCAGCACATGCTGACTAGATACACATGGTTCATATATGGCAAAAAAGGTTTTGTCCCTATTGCTGTTTTTTCATTGCAGCGGTGATTCTCAATGGGGGCAGGGGTGGTGATTTTGCCCCCAGAGGAAACTGGCATTGTCTAGAGACATTTTTATTGTTGGGACTGGAGGGTGGGGGTGCAAACGGCATCGGGGTGCCGGTGGACTTCTGCAGGAAGCAGACAGCCCCCACAACACATAGCGCAGTGAGGATGTCACCAGTGCTGAGGCTGAGAAACTGAGCTTCGGAAGAACATGAGCCTGTGCAGATATTTTCTGGGGTCTTTTATAAATGATTTCATGAGCTATAAAATTATATTTCCTATATGTGAAATATGCTGGTAAAATTAAGAGGTGATGTCCATACGCCATCATCACTGCTCGCCCAAGGGCTCATGTATCAATGTCTTCCTGCAGCCATTTGAATGACACACATTTCTATCTACTCAAAGGAGTGGTGAACGGGGCCCGTTTCCTCTCTGTTCCCTCTCCACGAAGCAGTTTCACTCAGAGAAAAAGGTGGTAGTCACCCCCGGACTCACAATAGGCTCCCGGGGACCTCGAACAATGGCAGGGCTCAAGCACTATCTATGAGCCACGGTTATGATCTGTAAGAAGCTGCATGGGGAGCCCCAGGGCTCACTTCCCAACTCTGCCACTCTTTTGTGAATGCCACTGGCACTGCTTCCGCTTGTGGCACAGAGAGGAGAGCCAATGAAATGCCGTAAGGAAACGCATCATTACTGGACGCTCCAGGTTTCTGACACATGCTGTAGGTCACTGACACAAACCCTCACCGGCAGAACGCTTATTGCTACTATTTCCATTGCGCCTGGGACAGTGTTGGCCTCGATCCATCTAACAGCCACCTGACGAAGGAAAGGATCGCATCCAACCACAGGCACAGACCTGGTACCTTAGAAGGCAAAGGAAGGTGGTTCAAGTGCCACCGTTAAACTGACTCACGTGCAGAGCTTAGGATTTAAACGTGGACCTTGGAGACCGAATATGTGTTCGCTCCTCTGCACTAAATCTTTTTTAATAACCTGGCACTGCGAAAATCTCGTTGCTCCCATTCAATCACGTTTTCGGTGCCATGAATCTATTGCGTGTGACTGATCTGCCAGACACTAGAGGAACATGTGCGTGTCTGCGAGCCGCGTGGCGAGCTCGAGAGACGAAAGGAAGAGGGCCCGGGGATCAGGACNAAAACACCCAGTTCCTCCCATTTTCCCGAAAGCGCGTTACCTTCTCCATGTAACAGCGACGGGTCTAAGAGCTCCATCATGTACTCGATCTCTGTGTCCAGTTCCAGCATGTCACACTGAGCGATGACATAGGTCAGGACTGGTAGAAAGTCGTCAGCGCCATACATCCTTCCTGGGGTTAGGGGGAAAGCGGAAGACAGGAATATTTTTACCAACATTTCTGGCTTTCATGTTCTACTTGCTGCTTTTATTAGGCAGTGAGGAGTCATGCTGGAGAGATGTGCTATTCATAAACCTTTGGAGGTGGGCGTTTCTGGAATCCTATGTCGCCCACGACCTTCCCCGCTGCGCATGTGTCAGACCAGCCCTAACTCACAACTTCAGAAGGAGCATCTGGGAGTCAATGAACACAGAGGGGTTCTCTCCCCACTGTCATGAGCTACATAGTTATGCAATACAACACAGGACTTTCAAACAGTTTAACTTTCGGCAAGTAACATTACAAACCAGTTTACAAAGTCTCTGCTTCTTATGTCCACCCTTGGGGCTTGTTTCCTGTTGCTTTCTGTGCAGGTTACTCACAAACAATGACCGATCAGACTCATACCAGGAATAAAGGTTGCTCTCTGCTTGTGAGCACACAGTTTGTTTATTCAGATGTGTGAATTCAGCACATGCTGACTAGATACACATGGTTCATATATGGCAAAAAAGGTTTTGTCCCTATTGCTATTTTTTCATTGCAGCGGTGATTCTCAATGGGGGCAGGGGTGGTGATTTTGCCCCCAGAGGAAACTGGCATTGTCTAGAGACATTTTTATTGTTGGGACTGGAGGGTGGGGGTGCAAACGGCATCGGGGTGCCGGTGGACTTCTGCAGGAAGCAGACAGCCCCCACAACACATAGCGCAGTGAGGATGTCACCAGTGCTGAGGCTGAGAAACTGAGCTTCGGAAGAACATGAGCCTGTGCAGATATTTTCTGGGGTCTTTTATAAATGATTTCATGAGCTATAAAATTATATTTCCTATATGTGAAATATGCTGGTAAAATTAAGAGGTGATGTCCATACGCCATCATCACTGCTCGCCCAAGGGCTCATGTATCAATGTCTTCCTGCAGCCATTTGAATGACACACATTTCTATCTACTCAAAGGAGTGGTGAACGGGGCCCGTTTCCTCTCTGTTCCCTCTCCACGAAGCAGTTTCACTCAGAGAAAAAGGTGGTAGTCACCCCCGGACTCACAATAGGCTCCCGGGGACCTCGAACAATGGCAGGGCTCAAGCACTATCTATGAGCCACGGTTATGATCTGTAAGAAGCTGCATGGGGAGCCCCAGGGCTCACTTCCCAACTCTGCCACTCTTTTGTGAATGCCACTGGCACTGCTTCCGCTTGTGGCACAGAGAGGAGAGCCAATGAAATGCCGTAAGGAAACGCATCATTACTGGACGCTCCAGGTTTCTGACACATGCTGTAGGTCACTGACACAAACCCTCACCGGCAGAACGCTTATTGCTACTATTTCCATTGCGCCTGGGACAGTGTTGGCCTCGATCCATCTAACAGCCACCTGACGAAGGAAAGGATCGCATCCAACCACAGGCACAGACCTGGTACCTTAGAAGGCAAAGGAAGGTGGTTCAAGTGCCACCGTTAAACTGACTCACGTGCAGAGCTTAGGATTTAAACGTGGACCTTGGAGACCGAATATGTGTTCGCTCCTCTGCACTAAATCTTTTTTAATAACCTGGCACTGCGAAAATCTCGTTGCTCCCATTCAATCACGTTTTCGGTGCCATGAATCTATTGCGTGTGACTGATCTGCCAGACACTAGAGGAACATGTGCGTGTCTGCGAGCCGCGTGGCGAGCTCGAGAGACGAAAGGAAGAGGGCCCGGGGATCAGGACACCCGGCCGGGCCGGGCCCGGTGCGGGGCGTGAGGTGCGGGGCGCGGGGGCCTCACCTGAGTTGCTCTCCATGACAGTGTAAATGAGCTTGCAGACCCTCAGCAGCAGCATGACTTTCTTTTCGGGCGAATACATCTTCTGCATCGTCATGAACTTGACTTTGATCTTCTCCACATCCACAAGGTCGGGGGTCGGGGCGAAGACCCCCAGCTCCTGCGGGTTCCTCTGCCGCACGAGCTGCAGGTTCTCCTTGAGCTGCTTCCAGGAGCCGTCGGCCATGTGGAAGTCCCTCAGCATGGCCTCCACGTGCCCCTTCAGGGGCTTCAAGATGCACTTGTGCATGGCTTTTTCCAGCACCACATCTGCCAAAGAAAGCGCAGCTACTATGACCATTGTCTCAAGAAAGAAGAAATGCAGGCCCGCTTCCCGAAATGCGCGCCTGCGGCTCTGTGCGTTGGTCAGGGGGCGGGCAAGTCATAACCTCACTCCCACGCAACTGAGCAGCACTCCAGCCTTTCCTTCTGTAAAGCCAGGAAGGAAAAATGTCCCCTAATGAATCCTTAGTTTCTCTTGCATTCAATCAATGCAATTAAATACATTTGTTTTAACTGCTTTTATGCCCCCCTCCCCGATAAGCACAGGCAAACACTTCAGAAGACATTCTTTTAACCTAGTTCTTCCACTGATCACTGAGTTGACAGGCAAGCAAATGTTATTTTAATGGAAGGACTTTCTAATAGTGAGGGTTCAAGATCCCTTAAAATATTTTCTGAGGAAATAAATTCAACAAAATGCGGACTGGATTCTGGACCAAAAAATAATAATTTATTTCATTTGCTATAAAGGATATTTGTGGGGCATGAGATCTGAATAAAGTCTGCAGATTAGGGAACAGAGTTAATATTGAATCAGTGTTAATTTTACCTAGTTTTTTTTTTTCAATGCTCACCCTAGGATATTTTTTCCACTGCTTTTCAGAGAGATTGGGAAGAGAGAGTGAGGGAGAGAAACATTGATGTGAGAGAGACACATTGATTGGTTGCTTCCCACAGGTGCCCCGACTGGGGTTGGGGATCAAGCCTGCAACCAAGGGACGTGCCCTTGGTCAGAACAGAACCCGGGACCCTTTAATCTGAGGGCCGATGTTCTAACTAGTGAGCCTAACACCAGCTACTGTAGTTTTTAACAGAATGTTTCTGTTTTTAGGGAATACACACTTAGGGTAAGGACACAATGTCTAAACTATCTCTCAAATGGTTCAGAAAAGAGGTGGGTGTGTGTGTGTGCATGGGAGTGTGTGCATGCATGGGTGTGTGTGTGCATGGGCATGGACATGCGTGTGCATGTGTGTGTGTGTAAACAGAGAGGAAGGAGAGTGATAAAAATGTGACAAAGTGCTAACATTTGGGGAATCTGGGCAAAGGGCAGACATGATTTCTTGGTATATTTTTGCAACTTTTCTGTAAGTCAGGAATGATTTAAAGGTAAAATTGTTGAAGTGTGGTTTTGTTCAGAGTTAGGAAACATCTTTAGGCTCAAGGCATTACTTCTCCCTCTTTCTTTGAATGGTTGCCCAAAGGAGTAGCTTTCTTGGCTGACAGTAAAATGACCAGGACCATAGATGTGGCAATCCAGACTGAAGGTGATTTATACAATAATCAGCTCTCCACTTTTTCAACATTAGCTTTTCAATCTCAAATGTCTGCAAATTCTCATCAGAGCTACCTGGGTAGTAACCACACCTAAAACCTGACACTTCAATGTGATTTCATTTGGGAGCGCATGGATCCGCTCACTTATAAGACTGGGAATAGTTGGGTGATCTCTCTGGCCTTTAGAATTCCTGACACTGGATCAGATCACACTGAATCCAAACTATTCCCTGTTATTAGAAGGTCAAGGGTTAAGGCAGATGCACGAACACCGAAAACAACTTTCCCATTACCCAAAGTTAAAAGGATGCCAATAGTTAATGCTGACCCCACAGTGACCAGCTTCCCTTGCCCAAGTTTTTCTCTGTTCCTCCACTTCCATACCCAACCCAGAAGATCTCTTTGTTTAAATAGAGAGCTTTATTTAACTATAGAAATTCAAGTTGAAGCAAAAGAGATTATAAAGTGAGAAGAAAACAACATTTTTACTTGACATTTGGCATTAAAACGAATTACTTGGTTTCCATTGGTTATGTTGTGTTAATAATCTTGTGCAACTTCATAGCATCTTTGTCTTTACTTATTTTATTACAATGAAAAGTCAGTAAGAGCAGTGAACCTTGAGCGCCTAGTTGGGTGAGGCTCTAAGTGCTTTATTTCATCCTGTCATCTAATTCTTACAACTCTATGGCGTTTGCATAATATTGATATTATGGCCATTTTATAGATGAGAGAACTGAGGCTTGGGGATATCTCATGACTTGCTTGAGGCTGCACAACTATTTTAAACAACCAATCCTACTGCTTTCCAAAGTAAATAATTTCTTAATTCTAAAGTTCAAGGTGCTTTATCAACATTTGCCAGTTTATTCCTCTCCACCCAAAGGTTCCAAAGCTACATGCATGATTATAAGTGACTCCGTTAGAATGAGGTCACCAAAGGGGGAGGGAAATCATGTCAGTCATTAACTCGGACTGTACATGAATGTTGAGAGCAGCATTATTTATAATAGCTCTAAACTGGACACAACCCACAGGCCCATCCCAATGGATTGGATACAAGGGTATATTTGTACAATGGAATTCAGGCAATGGAAGATTCATTCGATGAGAAACAGGACACTGCTGCTCCAGAAGCGACCGGATGAACCTCGCAGATATACTGCTGTGTGGAGGAAGCCAGACAGGAGAGGATCTCCTTTAGCATTTCATTTATATAAAGTTCAAAAGTGGGCAAAACGAATCTATGAGGACAGAAGTCGGGATGGCGGCTACCCTTAGGAATGAATGGGGCTGTGGGGAGACACTACCTGGATCTGGGTGGTGGCTACATGTGTGCACACATGAGATTTGGTTGAGCTGAGCTGAGCACTTAAGATATGCACACTCTGTGGATGTAAGTTAAGCCTCAATAACCATGTATAAGTCAAACAAAGAGAAACAACTGGAGACCAGCCTGGGATTTTCTCCTTGAACCTCAAGGGCAACTTTAAATTTTAGGTGAGCCTAGTCATATCTGGCCAGAGCATTAATACAAATTGTCTCCAGAAGGTGCTGCTCTGGTGCTGGGGGAAGACAGGCAGAAAGCTCCTTCCCAGCAAGCTGAGTGAGTCCTTTATGCAGCCTCTGAGTTGTAAACCCTTACCCATGAATGGGGCTGTGGAAATCTGTTAGGAGAGTTGAAACCTAGGACCCATTGCCAAGTGCCTATTCTTTTGAAACCCATAATGAAAAACAAATTTCCCAGTGTTGGACTTTTTTAGTCCATTTTAAAGGCCTTTATTTAGAAATAAGACTTCCCCCTTCGCATTGGTTTTCAGAAATTTTTCTAACCCCCACCACAAATCCTTAATATATATTAGGAATATTAAAGTCCAAGAGACCTGGGACCCAGCTGGTTTCCTCTAATAAGAAAAATAGGCTCTGTTTACGAAGGAATAGGGAAAACTGATTTGAGTAAACAAAAGGAACAGAAAATCTTTCAGAATGAAGACTGGCTCAGAAAAAACAAACACCCAGGATGTTCACACTTCTTATAAATCACCATCTGTTGTTTTCTATTATCTCTGATTGCTTTAAATCCAAGAAAACAAAAAAGTTTAGACTGCAAAAACAAATGACACCATTCTAGGCACTTTACATGCACTGACTTTTCAAATGGCAAACACGCTCCATGGGGTTTCACTTTATAGATGAGGTAACTGAAACCCAACGAGATCAATGTCACATAGCTAGCAAGAGGGGGAGCCAGAATTCGAAACCAAGACGTCTGGGGTTAAGTGTATTTATCCACAAACAAAAAAATACTAGAGAATAGTTTGAGCTACAGTATTATGAATTTTATAAACAAAATGTTAGCTGAATGATCAAAACTGGAAACAAATTTTCTGAAAATATTTATACGGATCTTATCAACGGTCCCCAAAGCTCATCCATAAGGGGGGGATGTAAAGAGCATGGCAGCTGCTTGAATGCTTCTCACCTTAATGAGACCTGATGTAGTTATTTATAAAAGAGGTTAAATGTGTTTCCCTCTCATCCTCTGAGTGATCGCTCTCCTATGAGGAATGGAAGACAGAAGCCTTCTCCATGTTGCTTCACTCTGACTGACAACACTGATTCCAGAGAAGGCTGGAGGGTCAGACAGGGAACCATCACAAGACTGGATGGTGCTTACCCAATGCTGTCTAGGGGGAAGTGAGAGCCTGAGAGGTGAAGGTGAAGTCCAGAGAAAGTGCGTGTCTTAGAAAGCACTGGGAGCATGAGGCCTGGCAGCCAGCCCAGCTCTATCTTTCTAAGTGACCTTGGCCAAATCACTTCACCTCTCTCACTGCCTTGCCTCGAACTTCTGAACTGCCATAGTAATCACTGCCCATAGAAGGCGAGGCAGAACCAGCAGTCTGAATCTCACTGATTGCTAAAACAAAACAGTACAAAATAAATATTCTCCAGAGGATTCTACCAGAACCCAGAGTCTAAACAACATATTATTCCAAATGTACAGACTGCAACCTAAAGTTACGTGACAAAGATTCTAGCGTTCTGATAATTTTAATAAAGTAAAGTAGTACAAAGAGGAGCTCATGACAAGAGAGATGGGCCTTCTTTGTAGGAAACTCAAACTGTGAAATTTAAACGTTTATAATCACTAACACGTATTGGGCATCTATTTGTGCAGCTCCTATTCTAAGGGGGCTCCCATATATGACCTCACTGTATGCTAATCCACACTTCAGTCCTCTGAAGTAGGAATTAGTGCCACCCTCACTATGCACACGGGCACGAGGCAAGGAAGTCAAATGACTTCCTCGGATGGTAGAGATGAAATGCAAGCCTGGTTATTCCTACTGCAAACAAGTCAGGAGATGGCATGAGGGCCTCCCTCTGTACAAGGGCAGAATGAGTTGATTTTTCTTTGTGTGCTAATGTATTTTCCTTTGGTTGTATAATTGGATTAAGGATTAGAACTGACAATAGGTGGTGCTCAATGAGTTCCAAGCACTGTTACATACTTTCCAACAATTCAACTGAGATGAGTACATAATCCTTATTTGTCTCAGTTGGGTTCTCCCAGAAGCTGACCCATAAGACAAGGACTTGAGTATGAGTAGTTCATCTGGGAGGTGAGCCCAGGGAGCACTGGTAGTGGACTGCGGAAGTGAGACAAGCGGGAAGGCAGCCAACGTAGTGTGTTTTACTAAGCCAGTTAT